TCATTTATCTAAGATTTCCTGAACTAAATTTAGAGCGGTTCTCGCTTCGTTGATTCCACTTTTGGTAGTTTGTTCTGTAAAACAGATTGATACTCAGTCATGGCCATTTATAATCACATTATTTGTCTTTGTATTTTATTTCAGAAGATGGGCATCGGGTCCTGTTTCTGTTGCCTGGCAAAGGTGTTTGATTTTGCAAGCTTCCTCTATGTCTGTCTTTCACTCGATCTTGACGTTTATTTCGTCCGCCTCGTTTTAAACCCTGCTGCATACTATCTTGCAACGGCCCAGCGCAGTTTCATTTTTCGTATTGGTTGCCCCTTGTGGATCACATCTCGTCTTTGTTTAACTCTCTACCGAGTTCGTGGACCTTCCAAAAAATTAAACAATAAATTGAAAAGACTTACTGAGGTTCAGCAAAACATGTCATCAAAGCTATTAGGCCTTCAGACACCAATGCAGAACGTTGATAAGGTCATCGGTCTTCGCGTGGATCAGCTCCGTCATCACATTATTGAGAAGCGCGATCTCACCACTCTTGATGTTGTAGAGGCCTTCCAGGTGCATGCACTACAGCTTCTAGGAGCAGAAACCGGGTGCATCTCTGAAATCGTCTTTGATGCCGACGTCACAGCTATTTTGGCCGACCAGGGACTATCAAAAGGCACCCCACCTAAAAGCCCGCTCCACGGCATTCCTGTGAGTCTTGTCAATTGTATACCTATCAAAGGCGAGGACTGTACAGGATCACTCGTTTTTCGGGCAAAACATAATGCTGCTTGCGATTCTAAAATTGTTGCAGCCCTGAAAGAGGCTGGCGCCGTGCCGATCTTACTCTCAAACATATCTCCTCTGCCCTGCCAACTTCTCACATCAAGCAAACTTTATGGCACTTGCAAACATCCAACCCATCCGGATCGTGCCGTCGGAGGTTCGGCTGGTGCTGAAGCTATTTTGCTTCTTCGGAACGCCTCTGTGCTTGGTTTCGGAGTAGACACCTTCGGAGACGTGCGAATTTCCGCGGCGTTTTGTGGAGTTGTTGGCTTCAAACCCACTTCAAATCGTCTAAGCTATGATGATGTTCAAATGTCTGTTCGTCCTCCTTTCTTCCTCTCCCCGGTGGTCAGCCCTCTGGCTATGGACGTAGCCAGTATTACAAATGTAATGGAGTCCCTGTGCTCCGCTCCTGTCCTGAAAACTGATCCAGCTCTTCCCTTGTGCCCCTTTACCCCGCTAAGCTATTCAAAGAAACTGACTATTGGATTCTATACCTCACTTCCAGAACTTATTCCCTGTGTGCCCTCGGTTGATAACTGTCTGGCAGAGGTGAAATCCATTCTTCAGAGTCTGGGCCACACTGTGGTCGAAGTACAGCTCCCCAAACCCGATGAACCCCTCCTTCTCACACTGAGCTACCTTGCCGCCGACGATTCCTACTGGAGACTTATTGTCAGGCAGAACATGGGTGACGCTCTCTCCAAGGCTGACATATTCAGGTGTGGTCTTGCTGCCACGCCCTATTGGGCCAGATCTGTTCTTGGCTGGCTGCTCAAACTTCAACAAGGGACCTCTTGTGCACGCACACAGAAGTTGCTGAGTGCTTGGAAGAATGAACTTCCAGCGGGGGAATTGGAAAACCGTGTTCGTCATTACCGAGAGAAGTTCGAGAAACTGTGGGAAGAAGAAGAACTTGACTTGCTTATTGGACCAGCGGCACCCTCTCCAGCCCTCTTAACCTCCTCTTCGGCTGCACTCTATTTTATGAATATGGGCTACAGTCTTATCTTTAATCTCCTCGACCTGCCTGCTGGTGTGCTACCCCTAGGCAATGTAACAAAATCTGATGTTGAAGCAACTGCTGATCTGGCCGCTAAGGAGCCCTCGTCCTCTCTCTTTGGGCAACTGCTTCGACAACAGAATACCTCCGAAGGTCTACCTCTCGCAGTACAACTTGTCGGAAAACCTTGGACAGACGACCTGATTCTTCATATTATGACGCAGTTGGAAAATAAGAGACACTGATGCTCAAACCGAAGAAGTAGGAATTTTTGCACAAACATGACTACTTTCCACTCTCCTCCAACTCCTGGAGCTCATACGCCGCCACAAAATTATTGCCTACCGTTGTGTGTCATTTGAGCAATTATTACAAATAGATTATTGATGGTGTGATACCACTGACATGCCATGTTGCTACTTTTTTAAATTACGCTCTGCTTGAAAGAGATAACAATTATTCGCACGCCAATAACGTCAACTATAGCGTTCTCCAATAGATTGTTTAATATGCTCCTGCATAGTAGCTTGGTTGCAGTAACGAAAATTAACAGTGAATATCCTCGACAAATTAAGTTTTTCTGCTTCTCTCATAGCTACGAGGCGTTCTGCACATCATTGCCGTGGCTATGTGTCACGCAACGACACCAGACCGATGAAACACGCGTGTCTGAACTTTTAGCTAATACTCGTGCTGTTATTATGGTAAAATAATGACGCAGTTTATGCTACCGTCTCCGTTTGCAGTACTCTGACGCTTACTTCTCAAGAAGAGGTAATCTGCCAGTGGAGACTTTGACAAAAGAAATAGGCTAGCTTGCAACAAGCAATCGTTGCCACCGGATTCTGGCTCAGGGTGAAAATTTTATAAAATCGATCATAGCTGAAAGAGCAATCCAGTTGATAAAAAGGTAAGCGGGGTCGATTCAGAAAAACATCTGAGGATTCTGATGTGAGTGTTTTTTTAAAATGACTATCTGAATATAGGGAAATTGTGATTCATTTGAAATAGTTAGCTTGACTTTCCACTCTACGTGATGAATCCGCAAACATTCATTTGTCAGAAGTATTTGAGGGCATTTGCACTGTTAATTTGTGTCTCCTATCTCAAAGCACGAGCCAAGCCAAGTCTCACACATTACGCTTTGAAGCATCTAAAGCCATTGGTGCGAAGATCGCTGAAGAAAAGAGCACCCCTGCTCACTGTCTGCAGGGGGCTATAAAGCAGAATTGGCATTCGTGTCATTTCCTTCCTGTAGACACCTGAATATTTCGAGTAATTAGGGTTAAAAACATCTGCGATTCTGCTCATCTGCAAAAAATTGCTAGGTGAGCCGAACCACTCACAGCTACGCCATGCAGCGACACAAGATCAGTGAAACACGCATGTCTGGGATTTTAGCTAGTAATTGTGCTGTCAGAACGGTACATAATTACGTAGGTTATACTACCGACTGTCTCCTTTCAGTATGTGAATATTACGTAGTTAGTCCGTACTAGCTGATGGACTTCAGTTCTAATCTTTATATCGACCTTCGGACTAGGCTTGAGAACGTTTTTTCCGAAAGATTTGCTCCGAGATCGCGTGTTTATTTTATCGGAGACAAACTAAGGAAAAATAAAGTATCTTTGCTTTCCTCGCGGTCCCATATAACGACGGCACTCTAACAAGAACGACGGCAGGTTACAAATTGTGGTGACTAACGTTTACTAATTCATATCAGAAAATCTTGCCCAGGGTTGCCTCCTTTGTATAGTGTGTTAGTGACTGACATCGCTTAACAGTGACACAGTACCGATCTATGCAAGTCGTTTTGGAACGT